AACATATAATAAAATATGTACGAAAAACGATAAAAAATCATGAATAACTAGTAGTCTTGTGTTCAAAAATTATTAAAAAAATATGGATAATTTCGGAAATTTTTAATTTTTATTATGCACCATTGCASCCACGTGTGTTGTATTCGTCTTACACAGGTACGACGTACAAGATTTCCGTTCGCTAGTATCAATAAGGTGCTGTCGCCTGTCAGTATTGTTATTAGACTATTTGAGTGAATTGATTTATTATTATAATTTAAGGCAAGAAGATTATCTGTGTTCTCTCGTTCTGTTATTTTATGATATTTTAATTTTTAAGTGAGTTATGAGTATGTAAATCATGAAATTCTATATATTTGCATGTAATATGCATAATAATGGCTATTTGAATTGTCGAGCTAAATTCATTTTAAAACTTATAGCTAYTAAATAAATAAAAAWTAAAAAGCATAACACAATTGCTAATTACTCACAAGAAGTATACAGCGATTATTATTAGAACACATCATTTATTATATTGCAAAAAAATAAAATTCATATTTTACTTATTATGATTGTGATTTGTATATAATAGTTTAATTATTTACTTTAGTTTTTGTAATCATGTTGGGAAATTTTCAATAATTTATTATTTTTATCTAAAATGCTTATAGATAATGTGYTATACAATATTTTCTTTAATCGATTAATTTCAGCAGTGGAAAAAGTAAAAGGGGTTTAAAGTAAATATTAGAATATTAAAATATAACATTGATTTAAATAAATACCAGAAATAACGAAAACGTAACKATGATAAAATGTCAATGATGGTCGTAGGTATTTTAGAAACACGATAATGAAWTTTTATTTGTAATGCCCTTTTGTGTGYAAGTACTTTCTAGGAATTATTAAAGCGAACTTTGTATAGGTACAAAGTTACATACAGTTGTATGTAACTTACATACAACAGTTGTAGAAATTTATTTATTKTGTTCAAAATTCAAATGTTCAATAATAACATTATTATTGTTCTTCAGACCACTTGT